CTGTGATGTGACCCTTTCACTTATTTATGTTTTCTTTTTCTCCTTGACGAATCACTGGTTTATTTTATTGATCCGTGATCGCCCATCGGTCTTCATCATGAAAAGATAGACTTCTAAAATTGCTGGGGATGGGTTTTTATTGCTGTTTATAATTATTCACGCATGATAATGTGTCCACCACCTAGCTAGCTACCTGCTCTCAAATACCTGGTTCAATCTTAATACAATATATTTGAAACCAGTCCGTTTTAATTTAAATCCAAAGTTTTTTTTCTTGGTTTTGGATTTGGGTTGGTGACGATCATCAACAGTTGAAAATATATGACGAAAAGTTGACGTTCATGTTAGGTCATTTGTTTTAGTCAAGATTCTTCCCCACATGGCCACGTCCTTCTCTGGGCTCAGAGAAGTAAATGTAGCTGAAGCTCTCGACCATTGCCACTGGTTCTGCATACATTGGGTAGATGAATAAATTACAAATTAATGTACTTTTTCAATAAATAAAAAGTTTGTCAAGTAGGAAGAAAATCAAGTTATTGCTCAGAGAGTGGTACAGGTTGGTTCTTTTTGTAATTTAACACTCCATGTTCACGTCGATCAGGCAAGAATCAATCTCTATATAAGACATTCGAAGGCCGCCAAACCGAGCACACAGAAATGTCGAGAGTAGAGCAAAAGCAGAAGTCTGCAAAGCACCAAAAGTTTCGCGGAGTGAGGAAACGCCAGTGGGGCAAATGGGTTTCAGAAATTCGAGAGCCGAGAAAGAAAACAAGGATTTGGTTAGGTTCTTTTGAAACTCCAGAGATGGCCGCTCGTGCATACGATTGTGCTTGTTATAGTCTCAAAGGAAGCAAAGCTTTACTGAATTTTCCCGATGAAGTCCATCAACTCCCCACTCCTCACACATGCACCGCCAAGGATATTCGCGAAGCGGCAGCAGCAGCAGCAGCAGCAGCAGCAGCTTCAGCTTGTTATACTGAAGCTAATGGTGTAGCCTCAGAGAAGAATAATAAGGGGAAGAAGGTATCAGAAGAAGAGGAGGGTGATGGTGATGGTGATGATGATGATGATTTTTGGAGTGAAATTGAACTGCCGGAGTTGATTAATTTTACCAATCGGACGTGTTATGAAGATTTCATGTGGGTTGATTCTGTAACTCAGCAACAGGTAATGGGGCTTAAGGCGATACTCGATCGAAGCTGATTAATTAGGCTTCCCCACCATCAAAATTTGTGGAATAAATAACAAGGTTTATGGCAGCTTTTGAAGCTTTTAATCCTAATTCTGTAAACGCTATATTAATTAATGTGCATTAATTTATTATTTCTGTATTGAATTCTATCTGATTATTTCTTGATTCTGTTTTCTTAATTGCTTGGTAAATTATTACATCCTTTTGTGAAATTAGAACTGATGATCAACACACCATTTCGTAGATCAGACGGGCCAGGTCAGATAAAACCTAGCCCAAACCATCTAAAGCCCAATTGCCCAAATGAGTACAATAATAACTGCAAATTTTAAATAGTTGGTGAGAAACAAGACGTTGAGAGTTGCGGTATGGTCCAGAAATTGATTTGGGTTTTAATGAAACAAACATTATGGCCGGTAAGCGCAAGCACAACTCCCACATTTATTAAAAGGATTTATCTCAAATTTGTCCATTCTTGTTTATTTTGAATTTTTACTCAATTATTTTTTTTCGTTAACCGGGGTGTCTCAAATTTGTCCATTCTTGTTTATTTTGAATTTTTACTCAATTATTTTTTTCGTTAACCGGAGTGTCCGGGCCACCCTTTCGTATATCTCAACTAATCTCTACGTGTTTGAGTCAAATTGCGTGCACTTCAATTGATACAATGGTCCATTAAACGCCTTGCAAACCCAATGGACTAGATAATTCACAAATTGTGGTAAACGAACACTTTGTGGGAATTGAACACAAGAGTTCTAGATAACCCACTTAGGGGTTTACAAAACCGGTTAATCAATTTTGTGAACCAAATCGGTTTTTTGATTTAGGAGTTTTCTGGAACAGAAATCGAATCGGTTAAGGGAAAAACCGGTTAGTAAAAACAGGTTAATCGATTTTAATTTAATATCTTATATATTTTTTTAATTTAATATTTTTATAATAATCTGGATTTTTTTATTTTATATTTTAATTTAATTTTTTTTTTATAATAAACCAGTTAATAAGACTGGTTTCAGTTAACCCTTTTTCATATTCTTCTAAACCGATAATCGAATAAAAAATTTGGTTTTTAATTTCCTTGAATTGAAACCGAATCGATTTTTGGGATAATCAGAAATTCAGATCGATTTTTGTATTTTTTTAAACACCTCTAAATCCATCTAGATGGCTAAACACTACGAGGCTAATGGTTTTTACTCTCAATTATTATTAAACAAATTTTGTATTATACAACTCATTCATTTATGAAATCGACCAAATTTATTTCATGGTCACTAATGTCACATTTAACAAGTGATAGTAACATTCACGATGTATGATTGGTCGAATAATGTACAATAAAACTATAAGGGGCCGTTTGGTTCGGGGTTAAGTGGCATTACTAGGGTAATGTCATCTTATATTACTTGATTACCACGTTTGGTTGTCAAGTAATATAAGATACCANTAATTTAAATCCAAAGTTTTTTTTCTTGGTTTTGGATTTGGGTTGGTGACGATCATCAACAGTTGAAAATATATGACGAAAAGTTGACGTTCATGTTAGGTCATTTGTTTTAGTCAAGATTCTTCCCCACATGGCCACGTCCTTCTCTGGGCTCAGAGAAGTAAATGTAGCTGAAGCTCTCGACCATTGCCACTGGTTCTGCATACATTGGGTAGATGAATAAATTACAAATTAATGTACTTTTTCAATAAATAAAAAGTTTGTCAAGTAGGAAGAAAATCAAGTTATTGCTCAGAGAGTGGTACAGGTTGGTTCTTTTTGTAATTTAACACTCCATGTTCACGTCGATCAGGCAAGAATCAATCTCTATATAAGACATTCGAAGGCCGCCAAACCGAGCACACAGAAATGTCGAGAGTAGAGCAAAAGCAGAAGTCTGCAAAGCACCAAAAGTTTCGCGGAGTGAGGAAACGCCAGTGGGGCAAATGGGTTTCAGAAATTCGAGAGCCGAGAAAGAAAACAAGGATTTGGTTAGGTTCTTTTGAAACTCCAGAGATGGCCGCTCGTGCATACGATTGTGCTTGTTATAGTCTCAAAGGAAGCAAAGCTTTACTGAATTTTCCCGATGAAGTCCATCAACTCCCCACTCCTCACACATGCACCGCCAAGGATATTCGCGAAGCGGCAGCAGCAGCAGCAGCAGCAGCAGCAGCTTCAGCTTGTTATACTGAAGCTAATGGTGTAGCCTCAGAGAAGAATAATAAGGGGAAGAAGGTATCAGAAGAAGAGGAGGGTGATGGTGATGGTGATGATGATGATGATTTTTGGAGTGAAATTGAACTGCCGGAGTTGATTAATTTTACCAATCGGACGTGTTATGAAGATTTCATGTGGGTTGATTCTGTAACTCAGCAACAGGTAATGGGGCTTATGGCGAGACTCGATCGAAGCTGATTAATCAGGCTTCCCCTCCATCAAAATTTGTAGAATAAATAACAAGGTTTATGGCAGCTTTTGAAGCTTTTAATCCTAATTCTGTAAACGCTATGTTAATTAATGTGCATTAATTTATTATTTCTGTATTGAATTCTATCTGATTATTTCTTGATTCTGTTTTCTTAATTGCTTGGTAAATTATTACATCCTTTTGTGAAATTAGAACTGATGATCAACACACCATTTCGTAGATCAGACGGGCCAGGTCAGATAAAACCTAGCCCAAACCATCTAAAGCCCAATTGCCCAAATGAATACAATAATAACTGCAAATTTGAAATAGTTGGTGAGAAACAAGACGTTGAGAGTTGCGGTATGGTCCAGAAATTGATTTGGGTTTTAATGAAACAAACATTATGGCCGGTAAGCACAAGCACAACTCCCACATTTATTAAAAGGATTTATCTCAAATTTGTCCATACTTGTTTATTTTGAATCTTTACTCTCAATTATTATTATTTTTTTTATTAACCGAGGTGTCCGAGCCACCCTTATGTGTACCTTAATTAATGTCTGGATATTTAAGTCAAATTGCGTACACTTCAACTGATTCCATGGTCTATTAAACACCTTGCAAACCCAATTGACCAAATAAATCACAAAATATGATAGGTGATCACTTTATGGGAATTGAACACAAGAGTTCTGGATAACCCCCTTAGGGGTTTACAAAACCGGTTAACTGATTTTGTGAACTGAACCGGTTTTTTGGTTCAGGAATTTTCTAGAATTGAAACCGAACCAATTAAGGAAAAAACTGGTTTTTCGGTTAACCAAAAAATCGGTTAACCAGTTTTAATTTAATATTTTTATAATAATCCATATTTTTTTATTTAATATTTTTTATAATAAACCGGTTAGTAAGACCGGTTTTAGTTAATCGCTTCTCATATTCTTTCAAACCGGTAACCGAATCGAAAATTTAATTTTTAATTTCTTTAAACCAAAACCGAATCGATTTTTTGGATAACTAGAAATTCAGTTCAGTTTTTGCATTTTTTTAAACACCCCTAAATCTATCTAGATGGCTAAACACCACAAGGCTAATGGTTTTCACTCTCAATTATTATTAAACAAATTTTGTATTATACAACTCATTCATTTATGAAATCGACCAAATTTATTTCATGGTCACATTTAACTAGTGACACTAACATTCACGATGAATCTCCATTGGTCCGAAACTCTGAAATCACTAATACCATGATATATGACTGGTCGAATAATGTACAATAAAAATATAAGTATTTATAAAAAGGTTGAATGACACGTGTCAATTAGAAACAATATGCAATAAACGACCGTAGAAGTGGTTGTTTGGGAGTAGTTAAGCGGTTGGAACAAAATGAAGAAAATGAAAATGGGAAGTGTCTGGAGAAGGTCGCCAAGTTTTTTGTTCCTTACCTAAATAAACGACATGGCGGATTCTCCAAAACCCAAGTTTCAATGAGCGTACAAGGAACTGTCATTGGTAGGTCCTGACAACCCAAAGTTCTCAGCTTTTCAGGTATCTATATATATCATTTATTATTCATCATTTTTACTTAGAAGAAAGAAAGAGCGAGCAATTGGGGAAACTCAAGGGAAGGGAAGGAGATGGCAAGCATGGCTAGTACATTTTGTTCTTCTAAACTTTTTGGAACCACTGAAGTGAAAAGCAATGGGGCTTCTCTAGCTCAGTTCAATGGGCTCAGACCAGCGGAAAATATGCATTTGCCATCGCCTGGGAATAAGCCGAGTGGGTTCATTTCTACTTCAGGTATTATTTATATTAACCTTTCGTTTGTGTTCTTGAATATTGATGGTTTGTGTTTTTGTTATTTTGAGGGAAATATGAAGTGGATTGAATTTAATTTAGGAATCATTTTATTAGAGTTCTGTACTTGTTGCGTGGATTGCCATAGCTTTCTTCTTGTTAATTGAGTAATTTAGGGATCATTCTTTATGCTAGTACTCTTTCAATGTTTGTTAAGTTCTTGCAACTGGATAGTCTCATGTTTAATAAACTTTGTATATTGTTACCTGGGAGAGGTTACAGAAGGAAACTTTTTTATCCTGCTTTTCTTTTCTTGAGAATTTGATTCTAGTTCAGCTTCATGTCATGGTGGCAGCTTTAAAATGCAGAAAGATCAAGGCAATGGATTCCCCAACTGTTTCAGCTCCCAAGCGCGAAACAGATCCCAAAAAGCGAGTTGTTATTACTGGAATGGGCGTTGTATCAGTTTTTGGCAGTGACATTGATACATTCTATAACAAACTTCTCGAGGGAGAGAGTGGAATTAGCCTAATTGATAGATTTGATGCTTCAAACTTCACCGTCCGATTTGGAGGTCAGATTAGAGATTTTTCTTCTACAGGCTACATTGATGGTAAGAATGATCGCCGTCTTGATGATGTGTGGAGGTACTGCATAGTTGCTGGCAGGAGGGCCCTTGATGATGCTAGCCTTGGCCCTCAAGTTCTTGAAACTGTAAGTCACAATGTTTTGGTTACAAAATTTAGCTCACCTAATATAAGGTAAGACCAAATGTCATTAAATTTTTATATTGGTATACATGCAGATGGACAGGACCAGAATTGGAGTACTAGTGGGATCAGGCATGGGAGGCCTAACAGCTTTTAGCAATGGAGTTGAAAATCTTATTCAAAAAGGATTTAAGAAGATATCTCCATTTTTCATACCTTATTCAATTACTAACATGGGGTCTGCATTGCTAGCTATAGACACTGGCTTGATGGGACCAAATTACTCTATTTCAACAGCTTGTGCAACTGCAAATTATTGCTTTTATGCAGCTGCAAATCACATAAGAAGAGGTGAAGCTGATATCATGGTAGCTGGTGGTACTGAGGCTGCAATTGTACCTACTGGTGTTGGTGGGTTTATTGCTTGCCGTGCTTTGTCCCAAAGAAACGAAGACCCCGCAAAAGCTTCAAGACCTTGGGACAAAAATCGCGATGGTTTTGTCATGGGAGAAGGCTCTGGTGTGCTGGTAATCACAAACTCAGTCCTGTTTGCTCATAAGATACTTGGTTCCCTTATCCTTAAGTGTTTCATATTTGTTAGTGATACTAACGGTGCTTACTGAGAACAGATTATGGAAAGCTTGGATCATGCAATGAAAAGAGGAGCTAATATAATTGCTGAGTATCTGGGAGGCGCCATAACTTGTGATGCTCATCACATGACGGATCCTAGGTCAGATGGATTTGGGGTTTCATCTTGCATAGCCAAGAGTTTAGAAGATGCAGGAGTTTCCCCTGAAGAGGCAAGCACAGCCATTGGTCTCATCTGTCAATGGCTGGTCATTTACATTCTTATATAAAGAGTATTATATTTATGATTTGCAGGTAAACTATGTGAATGCTCATGCAACATCAACTCTAGCAGGGGATTTGGCTGAGGTTAATGCGATTAAGAAAGTCTTTAAGGACACATCCGAGATTAAGATGAATGGAACTAAGGTGAGAAGCATACATATATTTAGATTCACTATTAATTTGAAGCTAGATCTTAATCATTGATTTGCATCATAATACAAGATTATGGTAAGATAATATGTTTTGCTCTGTGATGGTTTCAGTCAATGATCGGACATGGGCTTGGAGCAGCTGGTGGATTGGAAGCTGTAGCAACTATTAAAGCAATCACCACAGGCTGGCTGCATCCAACCATTAACCAAGATGTATTGTCTCTAAGCTCTCAAAGTTCTCTAATTTGACTGTAACCTGTCTACAAATTTATAATATCTTTCCTAATGCACCATATGTGAATACCTTTCTTTCTGTGGCAGAACTTGGAGCCTCAGGTTACAATTGATACCGTTCCAAATGTGAAGAAAAAGCATGAAGTTAATGTTGGTATGTGCTCTTGTTCTAAGCTCCATACAAATAGGCGATATTTTACATTCTAGAGTACCATAGAATTTAACGTTCTTATGTTTAATTCTGCAGCTATCTCAAATTCATTCGGCTTTGGCGGTCACAATTCAGTGGTGGTTTTTGCTCCATTCTCACCATAAACAAAACTTTTTAAGTACTAGTCTTCTTTTCATATTTCCTCCATAAAATCATTGATTTTGATCGGGTGTTGTTGAAGTTGAAGTAGCCATGGGGACTGATAAAATATAGAACTGGGTAAAGAATTTGTTCATGCTTTGATGAGTTTTCAGGACAATGTAGCTTCTTTACCAATTTCATTCAATCTCATCACCCTGGTTGATGAAATAAACTCACTGTTACATTTCACTGAATAAAAACATTCCTGTTATTTTGTCCGAGTTTCATTCATCTTCTTGCGACATTACATCAACACACGTGACATATATTTTCTGAAAAATACTACGTCACAATCTTCTCTTACAACCCTAACGTATCAACAGATTGACATTGTCACGTCAGCTCTCACGACATCCAATACACGCATTATTAGACATGAACAGTCGTTTCTTCAGAAGAAAAAACTGTTTTATGCTCCTGTTATGAATGGCCATTATGAATGGTTGTTTTTTATTTATGAACGACCATTCCTTTATTCCTTCGGTTATTATTTCATAAAGACATGATTGTTCTCTACGAAAGAACAGTTGTTTATTTGGTCTAGTCAAAATCATTTTGACATGACAGCACCAACTCAATTGCTATGTCGGAGGTTATAAGAAAAGTTTGTGAGAAAATATTGTTGATGTAGTATTACTTATATTTTCTTTATGATTTCACAGTATCACACTGTCGTATAAAACACGAATAAAAGTTAAATAAATGGGCAAAGAGAAGAAAAAAACAGGTACCTTCCATTATTAACTGGTTTAAGTTTGGGCAACTTGGCAGACAAATAGAATCCGTTTGAAAGAATCTAGCTGTTATTCCATCCAAGTCGAGGTTCTATCAAACTAACATTTGCTGATACTGTTAAGCACTAGATTAATTAAACTAATCTTAGCTTTAACGCCGACATTAAAGTTAGTTAAATCCCTCCACTTGCAGCTTGGTGGTGATTACTGTACTTTGGTAATGAAAGTGACTACAGCCAAATCACATGGGAATCTTGATGTTGACGTCGTTAACAACAACTTAAATAACTTAATGTAATTGTCTCCTAACCTCTGTATTAATTTAATAAGCCCCTAGATTAGGCCATCATCAACCAAAAGCCCACATTGTTTGGGCCCTTGAAAGCTAATGGCATCATCAGCTTATGCTAAAGTAAGCATATTTATTTATTTAATTTTGGGGAATATGCTTCTTGAGTATCCTAATCTTGTCTTTATAATTAGTTAATTTAATTACTTCCAAAAATACAATGAAATGATGATGTCACTTCCATCTCACTTTCAAGTTTTAACCCCTCCTTTTTTTTGGTTGACCGACGGTGTCTGGGCTGGTTTGCGCGCATCTTAACTAATATCTCGAAGTCTTGAAGTTGACAGCCAAGTAAATCTCCTAGTGGCGACCCCTATCAATAACTCAGGTGAATCAAACTCAGGACCTCTTAAGTAATACATTTAAGAGTCTTTATTGACCGTTGCATCGCCCAGTAGTGGTTATTGCAGACTCTTGAATTGTTACATTTTCCCTCTTTTTTTTTTTTTTTTTTTATGACTGGGGTGTCTAGGCCAACTTGCCCACACTTCAACTAATCCCTTAAAGCTCTGAAGTTAACGATCGGATAAACCCTCCAGTGGCCACCTCTATTAGCAAACGAGGGAATCAAATTCAAGAATTCTTGAATAATATATCTAAAAGTCTTTATCGCCCTCAACCCGCCACCCAGGGGTGGTTTCCTTTTTTTTTTTTTTTTTTTCAATCATTCTCAATCTTTGTTTCTTCACTTTGACTAGGGAGAATAATTTAATTTGTGTTATTTCTATACAAGTTTCCCCATGTGGAAATTTGAAAGCTTTTGTCAGACTGACAGTTATGGTTTGTTTTAGTATCAAATTAATTACTCAACTTAATGTATGACTGGTCGCAAAGAAACACCACATCTTTATATTATCATTCAATACCAATCAATATACGTTAACGTCTATTTTACGTGCCTCTCACAAATAAATTTTTGATCTTGGTTTCATATATTAAAAACTTCAAAACATTGTATCCAATAATTTTCGACTTCGATATAAAACCATAAAATAAAATATAGGGAAGAGTGCTTCTAGGTTCAATTAACCAATTTCAAAATGAAATATAAACACTTAAAAAGACAAAGAAAATGGTTTTAGAGAACAAAAATTTGAAGCCCGGAATCATACCTTTGCCCTTTTAACCACTTGGTTTGTCCTCGAATGGGAAGACTTTAGGGTTCGTTTGGTTTATTATTTCATACCATATTCTCAATCCTAATCTCAAAATAATTGTATGTTTCATTATTTAGGAAATACTATTATATTTTATTCAATTACTTTTAGATTCCTTAAGTTTATTAATTTAATTAAACATCTCCATAAAAAAGTTTAAAAATTAACAAAAACACCCCCACCCACCCACAGTTGCCAAATTCTGGCAATCATTGTCGAAAGTAGCCAGAATTTGTCACAACGGCATATAAACTACTGGAGCTGGTCGGTAATTTGCCGATTTGGCCTTTTTCGGCCAGATCCATAGTGGATTTAGTTAGAAAAGGTCAGATCTATGACCAGACCGGCCAGATCCGACCGGTCTGCGTCGTAATGTCAGATTCCGACTAGATTCCAATGGTGGTCGCTGGAATCTGGCACTGTGGGTGGGTGGGGGTGTTTTTGTTATTTTATAAATTTTTTATATATTGGGGTGTTTAGTTAAATTAGCAAACCTAAGGAGTTTTTTTGTTAATTTTTAAATTTTTCCTCGTAATAATGACCCTACTCAACTACTCAATACAATTTCCAAAATCTTATCTAAAATAACAAACCAAACGGACCCGTCATTTAAGTGGGTTATCCAAAAATATTATATTTGAGTCTTACAAAGTAACTACCTACCACATATATGACTTACTTAGTTTATTGGGTTTATAAGGTGTTCAATAGACTTCGGGAATTAGCTGAGATGCATACAAACTAACCCGAACACCATGGTTATCAATAAAAAAAAAAAAAAAAAAATTGAAGCCCAGAATTATAATAAGTGGTTTTAGTGGAGGACCTATAATTATGGGAGCCCATAAAAATCATCATTAAGCACCTTAATTCAATTGGATTAACAGTAATGGGGTTTCTGGTAGCTATGGAAATGGCAAAATAAACCAGGCAAGAGAATAAGGGGACCTCACAAGTGTAATTTTGGATATTGACATTTTACTAACAAGTGCAATGTAGGTGGTTGAGCTGGGAAGAATTAATGAACAAAATTAAAAGTCTTCTTCTTATTGTCATCCATCTCCATTTGACCAAAAGATTAAGCATAAATTATTATGATTAATTTAGTTCAACGATTAATTATGTTTAATCTTCATATTGTTGGTAGGTAAGCTAACATCAAACACTACGAACTTGTGTGGTTGTAAACAGAAAAAAAATAAAAAATAAAAAATAAAATTACAATTCATTAAACAAACCAGGGTCCAAATCGGACTCAACTACTCTGAAAAGCTAGTTCAAAGGAAGAGAGGAGTTCAACCATGTATATATACTATAATAGTCTACCGAATTAGTTATGTGGTACAAATACGATTTCGAATATGTTTAATGAAAGTTTATTCAAATGGGTTCTTTTTATTTGTATATTTTTTTTCTTGGAAATTGTAAATAATGTTTATATATTATAAGTTTTGTGCTCAATTAATTAATGTAAAATTGATTAGCGATCCTGTAATCATATATGTATGAAAGGTTAAGGTTATTGATTAATCATCCATTAGCATTTAGGAAGAACCCCATTGACCTAATTTAAGCACTAAATTCATTGCCAATAGGGGTTTGGAGTGACCAATGAGAGAATGGTAACATGGGTTTTGACTTGATTAGTGGTTAACTATTCCGTTTGACCAATCTCTTTGTGTTTATATGATGAGTTGTTGATTGTTATTCTATACGATTAGACTCCTAAATAGTCAAGTCAGATGGTCTTCTTTAATTTGACGGTAATTTACTGGAATCTTGAGATGAATTATCACCCTAATTAAGATTCAAATTTGCTAATTAAAATAATAATAAACTTACTATTTTGCACACTAACTCTCCATCCCGACTAACGTGGAGTGCGGTGTGAGGACACGTCACACTCCATCTCAATTGAAATGAGAAGTTGATATACAGAATCGGTAATATTACAATGTAATTTTGCTCAATGTAAAAACCCACTACTTTGCATAAAAGAAGACAAGAGAATGAGGTGTTTGGGGCCCGGAGAAAATGTGTAATCTCTCTAGTGGTCACTTCCACAGATGATTTTCGTGGAATAGTAACATGGGTTTTGACTTGATTAGTGGTTAACTATTCCGTTTGACCAATCTGTTTGTGTTTATATGATTAGTTGTTGATTGTTATTCTATACCATTAGACCTGTAAATAGTCAAGTCAGATGGTCTTATTTAATTTGACGGTAATTTACTGGAATCTTGAGATGAATTATCACCCTAATTAAGATTCAAATTTGCTAATTAAACTAATAATAAACTTGCTATTTTGTACACTAACTCTCCATCCCGATTAACGTGGAGTGTGGTGTGAGGACACATCACGCTCCATCTCAATCGATATGAGAAGTCGATATACAAAATCGGTAATATTACAGTGTAATTTTGCTCAATGCAAAACCCCACTACTTTGCATAAAAGAAGACAAGAGAATGAGGTGTTTGGGGCCCGGAGAAAATGTGTAAACTCTCTAGTGGTCACTTCCACAGATGATTTTGGTGTCTTTTTCTTCTTGATACAACGAAGTAAAAGCACAAGAAATGAGAGCCAGTGGATGTCAAGACTTTTGCCATCCATTGGATAAACCAACAAAGAAGATCCAACGGTTGGGATCAAGTGATGAACTTAATTAAGAAAAAAAATAAATAAATAAATAAGGTCAAAAGAAAGTCATGGGGAGGGACCAAAATCCCACTCACAAAAAATGTTCAAACTGCTTACGTGGCAGCAAATTGAAAGAGGGGAAAAACTCCACTCATAAAACCTTTGTATTAAAAAATTGTATTAAGCCCATGATTGTCTTCACATGAACTCCAAGCTGATGATTTTTATATGGTTTAAAAAGGTAACCCACCTAAGCCTTAAATTAATATCTTAATTGCATTTGTTTTAGTACCCTCCAGGACACGATTGAGCTCATTTTGCTTAATCCTAGGTGGGTAAAAAAAAGGGGAAGT